ATGTACCACTAGTATTCAATACTGTGTATTATTGTTTATATTTGAGACTAAAGGAGTGTTCATTCCACCGTGGCACCACTGAGGACCACTGTATTGTTCTATTGTAGTAGCAATACTGTTAATGCACTTAAAGGACATCACCCAAAGAAAATTGCCTTAAAACAGCCTGCACTTGGTGATGGGACTGTGTTGAAGCACCGCAAGGGACCAGTATGGATACTGCTCCCGCAGCGACTTGACTTTTGTAAAACAACGTTTAAACCTGTGGATTTAGATGAACATCACATATGCAGTCTTTTTGTAAATTGTTTGATTTGGTTAATGAGTACAGTGACTTGTTTTTGTTTTGTTTTTTTATTTTGTTGAATATTTAGGTCATTATCTATAATCCATCACAGCCTAATTAAGGAAATGAATGCTATGTTGAAGTGAACTTCATTGTAAGAATCTTTTCATTCAAACTGTTATCATGCAATCAGCCTAGACAACGCTACAACACGTCAGTCCATCATCTAAGCTGATGTTTGTAATTTAATTGACATGTTGTCGATCATTTGACGTTTGTTTTTTGGGGGGGTTGGACCACCCTCTTAAAGGAGCATATAAAGGGCTCGGCATTCCAAACAGTCAAAGTCCAAGACTGTGTTTCTTCGTTTTTCTTCTAGGTTATTTTGTAGCAAAATCTAGTTTGTTAAAGTATTTTTTCCCCATCATATGAGGTTTGACCAGTTTCACATTTTGATGACCAGTACTAATGTTTTTAGTTGAGCTTTTGAAGGTAAAGTGTAAAGTTCAGACCTCTGTTAACAGCGAATAACTACTAGAATTCTTAACTGATCAGTGCAGTCACTCTTTAGCTTTGTCTAAAACTTTTCTTTGTTTTTTTTTACATCCATGATTTGATTGGTTGAGCAGCACAATTAGATTTTTTGTATTCCATGATTTTGATGTTTATAAGTAACAAAGAATCTTTTTTTTTTTTTTTAAAATCCGGGTAAAATAAACTGTTTAAGCATTTGTTTTAATCAGACCCTGGGTACACTCTGCCCGACAGGAGGCCTCGGAGCTTTTACCTTAAACAAAAATTACAGTGGACACCAAAATGTATTTTTTTTTCCCTTTTTTTTTTATTATCCCAATGTTGCTGCATGTTATCTCAACAGGAATTATTGAGAAAATGTTGCACGGAGGATCGTTGTTCTCCGATAAATGCAGCTGGTATGTCTTTCTTGTAGAGTACCAGAGTATTCTCGACAGCAAAGTGGCAGCATTGAAACGCGATGCTGCGTCTTTCTTAAAAGAAAGTAAAGTATGAAATCAACGTTATCTGACGTGTGTGCGTGTGTGAGAGAGAGAGTGTGTTGTTATTGCATGCACACTAGTACATAATGTGCATGGATTTGCAAGTGTTAAACTGCTTGTCTGTGATTCTGTAAATGACCTCTCTTGTATTATACTCGTGTTTTTGGTCTTATGTAGAGGCCAGTATTGCCTCAGCTCTTAATTCCCTTTATTACTTATGTAATTTGTACCTTCTTCTTAAAGAAAGACACTGTAAATAGTAACTCAAAGACCAAAATACACGTTGCACATGTGCCTTGATGCATTCAGTAGTATGTGTATTGGTAACTCTTAACTAACTGGACGTACAGTAACTCTGTATCTCTAAACATGACATTGAAATCTTTATTTCATACTATTCTTTATTATTTACTTATGTTATTTTCTTACATTTCCTACCATTTGTATGTATAGAAAGATTATCTATTTTGTACTTTTGTCTTTTCCTCTTGATTAAAAAATAATTTCCAGTATAAGCCCTTGATTTTTTCCGTGTCATTTTTTTTCAGAAAGTTATTTTTTCTGCAGAAATTAACACTAATAGTATACACTAGACTGTGAAAAAGAAAAGACCCATCGTAAGAAAGGAAAATACACCTGTGACAAACAGAAATTATGAACATAATGGACTCATTTAGTCTGAGATCTGCTAGAACTGTTTATCCATTTAATACAAGTTTTAATAAGTGTATACATGCAATATCACTTTTGATAATATATATACTTTACTAAAAGTAGCGTTTAGCTGACGGACCTGATTGCCCCCACTCAATCTGATGATTGCATTTCTAAAAGAAGTGCAGTAAATCTGAAATACTGTATACAAAAGGTGGACATTTCTAGGTCAGAAAAGTAAAAAGATAATGGAAGTACCTTAAATTTGCATTCTTTCTAACAGTCAGCAGGGGGCAACTTAATGATGCTTAAGGCTCTTTTGTCTGCTAGCTCAGTAAACACTTTCCTTTAATTACAAAGGAAATGACAAACTACAGCATTCTGTTTGTTTTGTAACTTATTGTTTCCATTAGCGAGAAAAATGGGAGGATAAGTCAGGCTCTGCTATGCCATGTCAGTGTCGCTAACCTGTGAGGATGTAGTGTCGTAGCTGACAGCGAAAACGTGTCACTTGATATTTAAGAGACATTTAAAAATACTAAATCACTTAGTTTCAAGTCCCACCTTTCAGATGGTTGTTATGGTTGGTAATTGATTGCTAATCAAACTTGCTAGCTTAAAACTTAGGACTTCATCTGTTATCTGAATATCGTCACTTTTGCATCTATAAATCCAGCACGATGGCTGCTAACAAGCTAACACTAAAGATTAAAGTTGCTGGTGAGTGTATTTATGTTGTGTCAAAATCATTTGGGTTTATATTTTTCTGTAAACCACAGCACATCAGAAGCTGTAAATCGGGGAGCTACATATCTTAGCAGACAGATATCACAAGTCTTAAGATCACGTTATTCTTGTTTTATTTGGGAGCTTTGTCATCACCGGATAGTTTGCAATTCAGGGTTTTTGTACCGAAATTCTTCACTTAGTTTTATACTGTATGTTCCCTTGCGATCATAAAAATGAAAATAAAATACTCTTACATTGTGGTGCAAAAGCTTTATTCATTTAGTGTTTGTTAAATCATCAAGTTTCAAAACAGTAACTCTACAGCACAACTGAGATGATAAAGCTATAAGTTATTATTTAGGTCTAAACATACTATATTTCCTGAGCACTTAATTGCACTTTAACATGTTTCTTTTGGGAAGAATTAAGTGTTCCTGACCGGGCAAAGGCACACAGACCTCGTTAAAAAACAGAAAGCAGGGGGAGGCAGGAGGAAGGGAAAGGAAAGGAAAGGAGACAGTTTAACAAGAGAGACAGGAGACAAGGAAGGCGTGGTGAGAGTATAAATCTGTGCACCAATCACTGAAAATAAGAACTTCAAGAAAGTTTTGCAGATAGTTTTATTTTTCAGGAGTTTTCTGCTTAGGATGCTTTACGAAGTCATACTGTGTCAGTATGTAAAGCATCACACTGTACACATTTCAAGTAATAAGTCATAAAAACAAAGCCTGATTTTAAAGTCTGAGAAGTGCACAAGAGATGGATACGCTAATGCTCTCTGAAATGAAAGCCTGGCTTCGACTACACAATCTTTTACAGCGACAGCTATAATATCAGCTTCTTTAAGGTACTACAGAAGGAAAGTGGTCAAAAAATGTTCTCGGTAAATGACGGCACTTTGTATGTATAGCTGATCCTCGTTTTCCCACATTACTCTGAAGCATGACATACAAAGCGCATACGCAGAAAGAAGAACAAGGAGCAGAACAGAGATTCAAAAGAAAGATCACAGTCACTTTATTCAGCAGCTGGTCAGACAAAGAAAGACATATTACTACTGTAACCACTTATACACATCAGCATTGGATGTTGCGTATATAAAGATAATTCAAAATTCCTGTTTCCAAGTAAGAATGGCAAAAGGCAGGATATAACTATATGTTATTCTTAGGCATCTCAAGCGAGAGATGAGTCACTTCCAGTTTCAATTTGATCCATAAATGAAAATTTAGAATACAACTTGAATTACATGACAACATAGAGAATAGGCAAGGCCATGCACTCATTTTAATGTTTGCATTTCACATAGAAATGCACAGGGGCTGCTTTTTCTCTGTTGGCCCACAACTGGATTCTTTCTAAATGTCAAGTGTCTTCTAACATGTCAGTGAAGTCTAGCCTTCAGAGACCGCACTGTGCTGACTGTGGGGCTCGGTAAACATCTCCATAAGTCTTTAAAAGAGCTGGAAACATTAGCTACCTCCCTGGGACGTTCTAATGATAGGTTGCCGGTCTTCATGTATTTTGGCAGTGAGGGGAGAAATGGATTGTCATGGATGTGCTTTGAAGCCAAACAGCATGTCAGTCCTGTTGTCTTGAAATAACTGTAAACCTTACACTTAATGTTCATTGCGTCTCACAAAACAAAAGCCTATAATATTAGAAAGAAAGGTATATCATTTGGTAATGATGTGGACTCCAATAGCATTTCCCCAGTGGAGCCAATGTATTGAAAAAAGTGTATTTTTTTTAAGTGCATAGTTGCATGTGTGCACCTCTACATTTGTGTGTATAAATCAGCTCTCACCTCCTCCATCACTACCAGTGGTTTATGGGAGCCCAGCAGGGAGCCACATCAGCCTTCCCCTTTGATGGTGACACACATGATTCATGGCTTTCCGAGACCGTTTGTTTTCATTACGCCTCCTCGTCAGCTCGCTAGCTGTATCGCAGTTTCGTGCAACGCAAGCAAATTCGGGCCAGAACGAGAGGAAAGAATGTCAAGGGGAGAGGTTTTTTTGGCACTGAAAGAAACAAAGGGGCTAGGTTTTGGGATGGACAAGAAACTTAAGGCAGAGTGACGGACAGCCGTGGCTGGTTTTTTTTTTTTTCCAACTTTTGCTAAGGTTCAGAGGTAGTCAGGGATTCCTTAAATGTCAATGTTGGAAAACCAGGAGCTGAAAGCCCACGGAAAAGTCAAAAGCCTGACAACTCTTGCAACATTCAGTATGGTGTTCGCAGTTCTTTCTTTCTTTTAAGTCCTCTGCTCTATAGATATTAC